GTATTAGATTTCTTAAATTCTGCAATGCATTTCAGTCAATTAAATTGACCGAAATAATTTACTGAATTTGAGCAAATGTGCTATTTATTTCGGTCAAATAAAATGACCGAAATATGAAGGGAATTTTCGTTAATTTTCTGCATGTATTTCGGTCAATAAAATTGACCGAAATAGTTAACTTAAATACCAGAAATAACCCTCTCTCTAGTTCGGTCAAGTGGCTTGTCCGAATGTAATATTCAGGAGCTGACTTTTTTAAGGATTGGTTCGGTCAATTATCTTAACCGAATTAATGAAATATTTCGGTCAAGTGAAAATTTTCTCCGAAATACTATTTCATTCAAAGGATATTCGGGCCAACAATTCGGTTAATGAGCTTGACCGAAATATGTTTTATTCGGTCATAATTTGGTCTTTTTCGGACATTATTCTTGACCGAAACATTGTGAAATTCTAGTAGTGTTAGATACTAAATTTGGTACTAAAATATTATGCATGATATAATTATTAAAAAATTATTGACCAAATATATATTTACTCATTAGTATTATCTATTATTTAATTTCTATGCATTTATCAACATTGTAGCAAAAAGAATATCCTACAATTATATGATAGATCCAAGTCAACCTCTTCCTTGACATTATAGATTGATACCGAAGCCAATAGCAAAGATGGAAATGCTTTTGTTTTCTTGACCAAGAGTAGAAGTGTTGTGTTAGTCAATTGATGCAGTGATATTATATACCAATTTCTTTGCCACTTGAAAGATATGCAACATACATCTTTTTGGTTAAATGATAGTGTTTTAAATCATTTATGATTATTCTAGAGTAGTTTGGTTGATTCTATTTTGTATTCTACTTTCTTAATAAATTAATATTTTATTTTTTAATCAGTTTGAATTTCTTTTAGATTAAAGTTTGAATATATTTTAGTTCTACTTTTTATTTTGTAAATTTATATCCTATTTTCTTTATCTTATCACCATTCATTGGACCAACATCTACCTTTTCTAAATTATCAAACACTACTGGAAAACGCGGCATAAGCGACAATACTATATTCGACAGCCACATTGCTGTCGAAAATGTGTACATAATCGACAGAAAAACTGACGAAGATGTAAAATTGACGATGATAATAGAAATTTCTTGTTTAATCAACAGTATTCATATTCGACAGCTTTTTTGTCGAATATACAAATATATTCGACAGCCGTTGGCTGTCGAATGTGTTCATTTATGGGAACGGCATCGTTTTTTCTGTATATTCGACAGCTTTTGGCTGTCGAATATAATCCTTCATATCACCCACGCCTCACCTTTCTTCCCCATTTCTGGTTTTCCTCTGCGGCCGGTAGATCTGGTTTCTTCTCCGGCGAAGCTTGCTGTCGCTGTTCTTCCGTAGCGCCCCCTGTTGTCCGCTCCGCGCCGGTGCCGGTGAGTTCGCCCTTCTCTCGGTCAATTGATTGATTTATTTTTGCATGTATTTTCCTTGCATTCTTCGGCCTCCAGCTAGCGTCGACGACGTCGATCGGCAGCTTGCATTTTGGTTCAG